TTCTGAGCATCTGGAGGTCACTAAGACACGTGCAGAAGACATGGAAGCTGGCTCATAAGAGCAACTAACACTGCCCCGAGAGATTGAGTCTGGGATCAGAGTTTGCAGCTATTGAGTCTCAGCAGCGGCAGGAGGAAGCAACTGTGTTTAAGGGTTAATGAGAGTCAAATCCAAGAAAATATAGTGTAGCTGTTGATACTAATGTAACATTAAAGGGTTAAGAAAAACCCTTTTATTTAACCCTTTCATTATCAAAGTTGAAACTTTACCTTCAGTTATTAAATATATTGAAATAATTAAATTTAAAATATAATGAAAGAATTTAACATGTTCAGTGAATGTGATATTACTGTTACATTCTGGTTTCTCAATACTGGTTGAAATTAATCAGAACTGTTGTATAATATACAGGGTTTCATGATAGTAAATTTAAAACCTTTAAAGACCTTAAGACCAAATAAAGAAAACTTAAGGAATAAGTTGGACGGAGCACAATACTAATCTCTAAATGTATATGTTTTGTATTAGCAATGCTTCAAAGATTACTTTGGGGGAAAAAAATCAAAGGGATTTCAAGTTTTAATATTCCATTGACAGATATTTGTTCTAGTTTAAATATTTGTTCTTGCATAAACTGATTTTGTGTAATTTTTCAGAAAACAAGACTTCATATCTTCAATTTGCATCTCAAGTAAATGTATCTTGATTTAAGGATGTTCTATATTTATACAGAAGAAGCATGCAACATTTAATGCCATGACTTTATGAATTTTAAGGCCTTGATTTTTGAAAAATGCTAATTAAGACTTAAGACATGCAGAAACCCTGAATATTGTTAGCATTAGTTTCTAACCGTAAGCAATAAAAAAACAAATCTGTAACACTTCATAGACATTACTATGTGGAAAAAATACATTAAGATTCTCACAGCACCTCAAGTTCATGGTTGCACATCCATTTCTTGAATTTCTGCTGTTTTTCTGCTCTTTTGACTGATGTCAAACAAGAAATGCAGCTGAGCAACTGAACTGATCTGCCAGAATAAAATTTGCTGGGGGAAAAAAAAAAATCAAATTCTGACCTCTGATCCTTAAGCTTAAGTGTGAAAAACACATATCCATTGCATTTCATTCCTTTTCCCCTTGAAGTTTAAGAGCACTGAACAAACACAGTGACTATTTCAATGCAGTCTGCACAGAAATTCAAAATCATTCTCTGTTGATTGTCTCTATTGTCAGCAGAAGCGTGTTTGTCGTATTGTATAAGTGCACAGTTTGAAAGACAAGCTTTGTTGAAAGTCTAGAAATTGATCCAATGTTCGCTTCAGGGGATAGTTAACTCAAATGAAAATGGTCATCTTTCACGCACCCTCATGTTGTTCCAAGGCTGTATGAATTTAATTTTTTTCTGTAGAGTACAAAAGCAGGATGTTGAAATACTGTGCTGGTCTCTTTTCAATGAGAACTGAAGATTTCAAGCTTAATAAAAGCATCATAAAGTAGACCATAGGATATATGTGCTATATCCCAACTCCACAACAGCTTCCTGTAAGAAACAGACTGAAATTTAAGTCATTAAATCACATTTTTGTGTGAACTGTCCTTTTAAATGCTAACTTGTGAATAAACAGTTATACATTTGCCATAGAGATGCTGTTTTTTTTGGCCCACACTTTGCAGAATTGTTTTAATTCAGCCACATTGGAGGGTTTTCGAGCATGAATGGACTGTTTAAGCATCTCAATCGGATTTAAGTCCGGACTTTGATTTGGCCACTCCAAAACCTTAATTTTGTTTTTCTTGAGCCATTCAGAGGTGGACTTGCTGGTGTGTTTGGGATCATTGTCCTGCTACATAACCCAAGTGCGCTTGAGCTTGAGGTCACAAACTGATGGCCGGACATTCTCCTTCAGGATTTTCTGATAGAGTGCAGAATTCATGGTTCCGTCAATTATGGCAAGTCGTCCAGGTCCTGAATATATTCCATGCATACTGGCAGACTGAGACACTCATGTAGTTCATATCCCATGATGAAAGACAGGTTAAAACAGCAGCAGGGTGTTTCCCCTTGAGGACTGACAGATGTGAGGGTGAGGATGAGAAATAGGACAAATAAGAATACTGAAACTTTCTGGACATCTTGAGGTAAAACTTACTATTTAAAACACCACAAATATAACATTTAACACCTGCCTGGAGAGAGAGAGAGAGAAAATAAAAGATGATGAAAGTAGAAATAAAACAAATTGGGACAACGAAGCGACAAATGTTAATATCATTCACAGCTCTCCTAAATCATCCTAAATTACACTTTATTTCTCAATATACCCACAACAAATCATGGTGGCAAAACTAAAAAAAATAAATATTTTTTTTAATGAAATTCTTAAAGTTCAGGATTAATATCACACAAAGCATCTTATAAGCATGATATAATGGAGAGGGGGCAAGAAAAAGGAGACAGGGACATAAGGTGGATTTAAATGTGAATCTGAATCATCTGTGTGTTCACCACGGCACTTTCTGCTGCACCATGGCTCTGACCTACATAATGTTAATCTCAAGTTTCATATTTCTCAATTTGAGTGAATATATATATGGGTTTGAGTCCTTAAATTATTTAACATAAAAGGTTTAGAAAGGTCAAAGAATTGAGCCAATCAAGCTGAACACTGCTAGATTCACTTGAGGAAAAAAAGACATGAAATGGAGATGAGCTCTTTCTTCATTTGACAAGGACATGAAGTCCTTCTGTTAAAGGCCAAAACATATTACATGAATGTGAAGTTAGATCTCATTAACCTGAAAATGAGTGATTTCCAGTGTTTTGACTTAAAGGGCTGTAATAAAGCTGAAACAGCACATCGGCGCAGCAATGAGAGAGAAATCTGGGCAGAACTCTGTTCTAAAAGTCATAAACTAACATTAGAGAAGTACATTATACCATAATCTAATCAAAAAGCCCTTTCTCACAGAGCTAATAAATACCCTGAGTTGCACTGGGCAAAACCGGGGGGGTTTATGGTTCATTAGGGCAGTGGAGAACAGACGCGATGATGTTTTTAGTAGAGATGATGGCCATTCAGCTAAAGCCCCAAACGAAGGCGATTCCTCAAGTGCAGTTTTAGCAGGAGACCCAGTGCTCACCTCCATCACGCTGGGTGGATCTGCCACTATTCTGAAACCAAATGTGGTTAAAACATGAGGACTGCATTTAGAGTATCATTTTGTCTTTAAAAAAACCACTGAGGGAGAAACATGCTCGGGACTCATTAAAAATACATTCATGGGTCTTCTTAGCCTTCATACACTTCGTATTTTGTAAATGCTCAAATTTAATTTGAATCGTGTGGTTACTGCATTTACATGTGACACTGAAAACTCAGTTTTGTCATTGCAGGAATAAATTAAATTCTAAAATATATTAATATATAATTTTTATATTCCAGTATAATTTCAAAAATAACTGTTTTTACTGTATTTTGATCAAATAAATATAAATACTTTTTAGCAAACATCTTACCAAGCCCAAAATTTGAATGGTAGTGTATGGAGATAGAATTGTTGCTTAATTCCAAATAAATAGATTATGATCCACAAATAAATAGAATGAGATCCACAAATAAATCTTAAAGTTTCACAAACACGAATTAAATTCACAAATAAATAAAATGAGATTTGGAAATAAAAAACATTCACAAATATATATTTATGTCACAAGCACAACTTTGCCTGGCATTTATTTGTGAATCGCGTCCTGTGCATTTGCGAATTGTGAAACATTTCTTGCATCAAGACGTGCTGACAATCCACAAATACGTGGACTCCACCCACCGTCTACTCAAGCCAATCAGATAACAGCCACATTTCGCTGACCAATCGTAGCACGATCTCGCTATAGCCAATCACGTTTTGCTTTACAATCAGGGCGGTCTCGTCCTGAGAAAACTTCATTCATCTGCATTGGCTCAAATAGGTCATATAAGGGCCATACAATGGGTACAGTAAAAGATGTTTAAAACTGGATTTCGTTAGACCATTAGACTGTGTGGATCTCATTCTATTTATTTGTGGATCATAATCTATTTATTTGGAATTAAGCAACAATTCTATCTCCATAGTAGTGTACTGTATACAGTGACTGTTTTAAAGGGATAGTTCACCCAAAAATTTAAATTCTGCCATTTACTTACCCTCAAGTTGTTTCAAACCTGTATGAGTTTCTTACTTCTGTTGAAAACAAAACATATTTTTTCAGTTTTTGGTCCTCACTGATTTCTATAGTACCCCACCCCCCCATATTATGGAAGTTAGTGGAGATCAGAAATGATTTGGTTATGCCCATTTTTCAAAATATATATATATTTGTTTACAGCAGAAGAAATAAATTTGATAACACTTTATTTTAAGGTGTCCTTGTTACACATGCTATATGTACTTACTATTACAATAACACTAAATTATGCATAATTAGTAACCCTACTAAAATGCATAATAGTAACCCTAACCATAGAGTAAGTACATGTAGTTGATTAATATTACTCAGTACTTAAATGTAGAATTACACTGTAACAAGGACACCTTAAAATAAAGTGTAACCATACATTTATACAAGTTTGGTACAATTTGAGGGTGAGTAAATCAAGACATTTTAAATTTTTGAATGAACTCTCCCTTTAACTTAAAATTGTATTTTGTCAGTTTTAACCATAACTGTTAATACTGTAAGGGAAACAGGTCAATTTAGCTCAAAGGGAATCATTTAAGATTTTAAAGGGAACTCCACCATTAATATGGGATATCCTACAATACCAAATCAATGAAAACACCAGAAATCTCCATAGATGCATTAGTGTAGTTACTGTGTTTTGCCTTTGTAACGTAGTGTAGAAACTATAGTGTTTTATATAACATTCTTCATGTGACACAAACTGTGTTGTAAATGTTCAAAAAAAGGAACTCGGCACCACCCCAACCCTCAAAACCAGTCAGACAACATGGCACTTTGCTCATTTTTATTTCTCAGATTTAAATACAATGACAGGGTCTACCTCAGAAGGAAAGAAATTCAAACACTGTTTCTGTATGGCGGGCAAGAGCAGGAAAAGAAGAAACGATGACCGTTGAGTAAACCTCACAGATGAAGCCGAGAGATGCTTGTAAAGGTGCTGGCAGCGGTTCTTTTGCCACAGAAAAAGAGAAAACACACGTCCTTACACAAATGCCCAGAAATGTCACTGAACACTCAGATCACATCAGAGAGAGATAAAAATACGCTCAGTAAGTTCACTTGGTTAGTTCTGATCTAACTTCAAAATATCCATATATATACTGAAATATAGAATCTCATGATTAAGGAGGCGTTTTCTCAGCAAGCTGTTGAGTTCACGGTTGCTCTGTGCATCCCCCTCATTTCTTTAAAAGTCTTGCCCCAAAATATAGAAATCTGATTGGGCAGATCAGGTTTGCTAGGATGGGGTTTGACAGCTGGTGATTGGCTAAAAATTTACATGAAAAAGATGATTGGCTAACATGTCAAAATTTAAGATTAAGGTAAGTACATTGGTCCTATTTGAAGCAGCAACAGGTAGAGTTATCTGTAGCCTACTCGCTTAAAAAAGAAAAAGAAAATGACAAGAAACAAAGTCCTTGGGCAGAAGAGAGGATATGCACAGAGTATAAAAAAAACAACAGAGAGAGAAAAATGTTCAACGTTAGAAAAAATAAGATCATACTGATGTTTTGTTGTTTTTTTTGTCATGATTTTAATTTTTGTGTGTGTTCTCTGCGAATGCATCTTGTCTTCCTCAAGGTCTTTGGAACAACGACTTAGCGGCGATAGCCGAACTCATCCGCGTCATCATCACGGAAATCTCCATAACGCCAAATGTTAAGCTGCAAATTAAAAGGAAAATAATCAATTAAAGACAGATAGTTAAAATATAGCTCTAACTGTACACTGCAGGAATGTCAGCCATGCAACTGGTGAGAATGTCAAAAAAAGCTCTATTACTAAAATTAATTCAGATTTCAAATGCAGTTTGGACACTTTCATTGTGGCTTTGCTGAAGCTAAGCTGCCAATATAGTATCAAGTTAACACTTTATATAAATTTTAAGCACTGTAACCATGCATATGAGATTTATTGACCCTGCATTGAAAGCATCATAGATTATAATGAAGACAAATCCTCTAAAGCAGCAGATCTTTGATGTTTTAAATGGGCTTCTTCTTCAAATGGACACGTGGGTTAAAATAACATTGCAAAGATGGTTGAAAGAGAAAACAAACATTTGCCCCCCCCCCAATTCTAAATAACTTCAATGAAACATTAATAAGTATCAAATTGAGTCTTTAAGTCACCTGACAGCACTGATTCACTATCATTAAATTCTGATAAGCGTTTTTGCCCATGTGTCTGTGAGACTGAGGCGCAGACGGCCAGCGTGTAGACAGGATCATTAAAACACGAGCTGGTCTGTAACATCATCACACCTCAGTAATAATGAGGCGAACGGTCGTTTACCGTGCTCTTTAACTCTAGTCCTTTCACATCCAGTCACGCATGAAGACTTTACCTCCAACAAATTCCATCGCAGCCCTTCTATTTTACATCGGTTTTGCCACAAAGCAGCGAAACGGTTCATTTGTGCAAAAGAGAATCGTTTCGGCTTCAGAGATTCTTCGGGAAGATGGGAAATCATTTTGTATGTCATACAGAAGCTTTTATGTTTTCTCAATTTCTGTCATCGGTGTGCATGTGGCTGTTAACTCTGAGAGAATCACAGCTAATTAATGTCTATGATAATTAGCGCCGTCGTTAGCAGGGACATCATCATCAAGCTCTTGGGTTGGCATGGTTCTCTCTTCTGCTTGAGTCTTGTTAAACAGCTATTGGCTTGTCATATGGAGCAATGTTTTAGCCAAAAGACTGTTCAATGTGCACCGCGCTGCATAAAAGTCAATGTTACAGGTAACAAAGCCAAAGCCGGTTCTGAAAACAAAACTCTTCGGTTTTCTGTGCCAACAAGGGCATTAAGCAATATAGACAAGCAGCAGGGAAGGAGAAATACAAGAATAATAATAAAGACACTAACATGAACTGAGGATGCCTCAAATATACAGTCTAGCGCTAAAATTATATAAATTATATTGTATATACCTATGTATGTAATAATAGGTAACACTTGGTTACATGAGGTTCAATTTGTTAACATTAGTTAACATGAACTAACAATGTATACATTTGTATTTAATGAACATTAATAAAAATACAGTAACAAATGTATTCCTCATTGTAAGTTAAACTTATTGCATTTAACTAATGGGATGATTGGTTGGTTGATGTTTTAATGTCATGCCAGTTTTCTATATTAATTTACAATTTGAAATAAAATAAAAGAGCAATTTAAAACCTGTATCAGGTTTTTAAAATTCACTTTAGATAACTCAAAAAATTTCTTCAAAAGTGTTTGCGGAGTAATATTATTTCCTAAAAGACTTTTAACCAGCACAATTTAATAAAATGTTTAAAAGAAACTGGACTCACTGGCATGAAGAGCATATCGGTGAATCTTCATTTGATATTAAGAACTTGTGTGTCTTTCTTTAATGTCCTATTTAGCATAATGTATATACAATCTGATCCTAGTGATTAATGAAAATAAAGATGCAACTTTTACCCACAGTAGGGTTAACTTCATACACTGATCCCATTCATTTGGCCATTTGTTGATGACGCAAGATGCTGTGGTGAGTTTAAAAATCTGAGGGTGCATGGAACACATTTCGATATCTGTGAATAGTGCTTCTTTAGCAGCAGCGTCCGCCTGTTTGTTACCTAATGGAACCTTATTTTAAAGTGTTACCTATATAAATATAAATAAATGAATTGCTGCAAAACACTGTGGTTGACCAGTCAGAATTTACAGCTGTGTGATAAAGCAGAAAGATTTAAAGAGGATGAGAGTTTAAAATTACAGCTCTTACCCTGGCACTCTTGGCAGATTCCTGGCCATTCAGATATTCAGTCACCTATGACAAGCAAAAAGTACATTTAGACAGAGAAAGGCCTAGTGTTGTGTTTAACTTTAACATACCCAAACAACATCCTTCAGCATCTTCAACAAAATAAATGACACACACAGGACATTATGGAGCACAGAGATTGCTTTTACCAGATTGATGCTGTGCAGAATCCACAAGTCAATCACAGTAAGTGCACCTTGTTTAGATTATGTTTTAACAGACCTTCATCTTGTTGTGACGCTCCTGATCATCAGGGTGGCAACTGGAGCCATGTGCATGCAGAGTATGCATTCAATAACAAGTGAAAGTGTGGGTGGTTACCAGCCACTAGACGGCCTGTGTGTCCACCACAGACACAGGCCTAAATAACACTAAACATATTGACCGCTTCTGCCACAGCAAGCATTGAGACTCACTGACTGAGGCATAGATGAGTCAGAGAGCGAGATCGTCTTTGTTTCCAGTTCAGAGCAGTATCGGCAATATCGTTAGAAAGCTGGAAAGGTCTGTGTTTTCTGAAGTACCAGGTACGGATGAGATCACAGCTGAGGATTTAATGCACAAAGATGGCAGATGTTAAAAAGCGTAGGGTGTGCTCTTTTAGCAGCGTGTTTGCATGTGGGGGTTAATTGGCTGGCTGAAGATCAGGTGATTCTTCAGTGCTTTAGGACATGCATGAAAAGACGCAGAGGCACATCTGGACTCTGCAGCTGCAGACAGCAGAGAAAAGTGCACCTCACGCAGTCTCCATCCATCAAGCGTCTGACGCACCACAACATGCAACACAGCGCCTCTCTCTCTCTCTCTCTCTCTCTCTCACACACACACCATCATCATCATCAGTTTCATAAACTCTGCTGATAGCATCATGTGTGACAGTTCATCGACATTTCAAGATTAGGGATGCACAGATATTAATAATACTGCTAAGCTGATAATTATTACTGATAAATGGTTGATATGAAAAATTTACAGTTTCCATTAGAGCATGGAGCATACTTTGAAGGCAGTGTTAAGTCACTTTGGATAAAAGCATAAGCAAATAATACAATGTTTTGCTGAAATTATTTAAAAATAAAATCTTTTTAAATGCCTCAAGTGAATTAAGGCATCACAACATTATAATGTACAGTATAAAGTACTGTACAGTATAAACAATGGATATTATAATATTGACCCAATAGTCCAATAACTGATATACTGTAGTTATTGTGTATCCTTAATCAAGATATCATCCTTTTTTTAACTTACAAACAGTAGTATTATCTTGATGCATTGTGACACATTGTCAAACTTGTATCACCATGCATATTCTCTTCATGTAATAGGTGTACGATACGTATAAAATATTTTCACAATGAGTAATTGTATTTCGTAACAATATTACGTAATTTTTTTATACTTATTAAAGCTATAAAATGTAGTCAGTCAAGAGGAAAGATTTCCTTATTTTCTTTTGTTTGATTAACATGACAGACAGCAGCTGAATCATGAAAATCTGACTTTTCCAGGTTTTAAATGCTATAATCAGGTCCCCAGTGAATCTACCAATCAAGGAAACGTGAAAAAGATTAACCCAGTAACTTGGTTTTGGTAAGCCTTTTTCTGAAAGCGTTTGAGAAAACGAGCGCATCTGATTTCGCTGCCTTGGTGACGTGGCAAAGGGATCTCATTATAATATTACCGCCCCTTAATCTGTAAGTTTCCACCCACTGTGCCGTCATTTTGATTTCGCAAGCAACAACGGTGTACCAGCTCTAATGCCATGGCGAAAGTTTGAGCAAAACATGCTAACTGTTCTGCCTTTGGCTGCACAGACGAGCACAGAACACTGTTTAGAGTTCCAGCCTCAGAGGAGACAGCAGAGCAGTGGATTTATTGATTTACTGCATATTGCTGCTGCCACACAGATCTAAAATAAATATGTGATTTATTTCCCAGCAGTTTACCTTCACAGACATAACCGACTGTTTTTGTAACTCGTGTGTGTTTTTAACGTAAACTTGTGTGAATGAGAACTTAGATTAGTACTCGCATGCTGTGACAGCCTCTTTCTGTCCGTGTGCTTCAGATGTGCGCACTCAGAAAACCTTATATCAGAAGTTTAAACGCATATGGTTTAAAACGCATGATTTCAGCACGATAAACATGATAATCAGAACCATAACAGATGTTTTTAGCAGGTCCAAGCTGTAATGGCGCAGCTCTATTCTGGAAAAGGGGGCGGGGAGCAGCAGCTCATTTGCATTTAAAGAAACAGGCCTGAAAAAAAGCGCATTTCTGCTTCCACTCAAAATAGGCATTTTCAAAATGTTATAATAAATGATCTGTGGAGTATTTTGTGCTTAAACTTCACAGACACATTCTGGGGACACCAGAGACTTATATTACATTGTAAAAAGGGGCATAATATGTCTCCTTTAAGACCAAATTTACGGATTCAATATACCAATACACAGATTTCAGACATCAGATTTCTTTCCCAATTGTTTACATTCACTTAAGACACAACAGACTGCGCTTACATTAATACTTGCCAATACAGGCAAACTGACATTTTTATATATTTGACCACTGAAGTGCAATAATCTGCAAAAAAATAACTGAATTCAAAATTGCATGCTATCTGAGAGGCAGATCTGTGCTTAATTATCTCATTCATGAATGTTTCTTTATCACTCAATGACAATGTGTTGTCAACTTATAGAGTATCACCATCACAACAGAGTCTGAAAGCACACACACTTCTCCTTTCCAAGTGCCATTTCTGTGTCCTCTATTCATAGCCCTCACTCTTGTGGGTTCAGGTGGCTGTGTTTTACCAATCTGCAGACTGCAACTGAGTCTTTTACCGTCTCTCGGCATGAAATGATGGGACAGTGATCAGATTTGCGGTGTTCTTAGAAACACTCTATAATACCCAGTAATGCAGGCAGCCTGAAAATCAAAGCGATCATAGACACAGCCGCACAGCATTCGAAGAGAACAGTTTGGACTTTGATCATCTCAGTACAGAGATTAAACAACAGAAAGACGCTGGAGCTGAAATGGCTTCTCTGTCCCAGATCAAGCCTGTGTTCAATCCACAGGGCACAAGAATGAAATGGGGTTTTTAGGCAGCGATGCGTGTCATTCAGCATGTGTCCCGGCCCGTTTGTGTGGATGAGTGTGTGTTTGATACTAAAGGAGCAGAAAATTCCCCATTCTAAGCTTAGCTAACTTCTACTGGTTAATGGGTAATGCAGTTGTCAGGAGCGAGGCATGATGGGATATGACTGGACATGGGGTGCCCTGTAAACGCCTGATTGTACTTTAGCTGAGATGAAATAACAATCTGAGACTTTGGCAGTTTAATTTTGTCATTTAATGATGTGTCAAGTTAAAAATAACTTGAAAAGCATCTTACTAAAAGCCCCCTAAGCAATATGTCCAACTGGACTCAACTAACTAATTATACGTGGGTTCCTTCATAGCAATTAATTCAGCAAATTAAAGACATGTTTAAGGAATGAAACATGAGAGTACAAACCCTAGACGACTTTCCATTAAATGCTAAAAAGCTACAATTCTCATAGGACAATTTCATCACATAACAATCGTAATAAAAAATACTACACCTCCCTTGGGCTTTACCATCTGGATTGTACAACTCAATATCACCAGAATATGACAGTGAGAAAGAGATATTAACAGTGCTATGGTTTCATCAAGCCATCAATAGCACCACAGGTTTGTAGAACATCTCTGGCTGAGATCAGACTACCTTTCATGCCTTAATGTCTCCAAGGGAAGGTCATTATACAGCAACAAGACCTACAAACTCTTTCTGAAATGATAAGTCCAGAGTTAAGCCCTTTTAAATCAACAATCTAAGTCAATACTGGATGCTTAAGGAGAATCTCCCAGAACAAATCTCCAATAAGACTGACTGCACTCTATGACTGTAACGCTAATTGGTATGTGAGCTTGTAATTAGCTTGTAAAACTAATGAACGTGAAAAGGCACCAGAGTCACTGATGGTACGCTACAGTAAGCATAAGCTTAGCGCTGATGTAGCATAAATACAAGGAACCTCTGTACCAAACCCTGCGAGCTGGCTTGTTGCCTGCTGCCTAAATAGACAGTTACCTAGATACCCTTTTTTGCATTAAATAAAAATGATGTATAATTACTTCCCTTGACTCCTCTGTCATCTTGGATTAGGTTAATTTGACTGATCTTGTTGTAGTGCATTGTTGCAGACTTTGTTGGAAAAGCCTTTGCATGAGAAGCCCACTAAAAGCCCACCAAGCTTTAAATGCAGAAGCAGCACTACTAAACTGACCTCAGAACAGCTTGACGTGAATTCGCCCCTTTCAATCGCATCCCGTCCGATAACACACAGACATCTCATCCAGCATGCCAGGATGAGGAAGAAAATCAGAGAAAGAGAGACAGACTAACACAGAAATAAGAAAGAGCAGTGTTTGACAAACACAGGGAGGGAAATGACATCGATTTCAACTATCGATCCCGAGAACTGATGAAGCTCATGCACACTTATCGAAAGGCCTGCGTTATCCGCACGCAGGTGGAAAGAAAGAGAACTGGTGGGCCTTATCTTTCACTCTCTCCCTGTCAGACAGACGTTCCCATATCTGACTCCTGCTTTCACTCTAAAGATTTCCTTTGCCTTTTTCGTTCTCCTTGTATGGATATTCAAGGACTCATTTCTCACTAGACCACAGTTAATGTGACGGACGGACTGACGTATGGACTCTGGTCTGGAGACTTCAGCAGAGTAAAGATTTGCTGATAGCAGGAAGTCAGGTGTCAAGCATGGCAGATACCCTTCAGCAGCAGAGAGGACGTTGGGAAAAAAAGATCACAGAGCATTGTGTGTTTAAAAGGAATAAAATATCACAAGACAGACAAAGGGGTGTGGGGTCACGGGTTGGATGGCAGCGTGTATTATGAAGGCAGAGTAAATAATCACTGCGTATTAACAGTGTTTTAAATCACAGCTAATTTACTACGGTTTGATCCACTGCTTTGTCTTTAATTCTGCAGATTATGATTTATCACACCGCTTTCACCGACATGTAAATACATGCAAATTTCCAAACTACATCCTCCTGCACACGGTGTACTGTACTGGAGGCCAAACCAGCAGCAAGAAAAGATGGGGAAGGAGAGAGAGAGGACAGAGAACGAGAGCGTGAGTGGGAGAGATAATGAATGAAGGAGAGAGTGAGATGAGAGAATCTTTATGAAAAAGCCAAGGGTGAAAGCAGAAGACAAGTGGCATGGCGCCACCACACTATACTAAAGTGCCAATGCTAGCCAGACTGTGGACTCGATCTGGCATACAGGATGTGCCTTTCATGTGCATTTACTGATGATGGAATGTAATAGTGTAATAAGATAGTTATTACACATTCATAAATGTACAAGTCTGCATTAATGGCAGGAAAAGTGGCACAGACTTTGGTTTTGGAAAATATATTACAATGTTCAGATGATGGAATATTTCCATGTTCAGTTCACTCATTTCTGTGCAACTAGCATCACTGAATGAAATGGCAAAAATGATCAGTTTCCTGAATACTATCTGCCACTGGTCGGTCAAACAGATAGTCCTGCCCATAAACTCACAACACCAATGTTGTGGTATTGAGCTGATCAGGATGCTCAAACACTTTCAGATGACAATCATTTATAGCCATGTTTACATGTCTCAAAACTACTGGAGCTTTCTTTGGATGTACATTGAGCTGTAATGCGGAACTAAAGCATGTGTACAGTATCTGAGGTACAGTATGCCAGAGCACAAGTGATTCACATATCTATGGGAGTGTGAAACAGGAGCAGAAGTGAGTGCCACCGAAGTCAGACAGCTCAGCTCTATACATGCACCTCAAACAACCTGTTAGCACAATAGAAAATGAAGAAAGAAAGCGCGAGGGAGTGAGAGGCGGGGACGAGTGAACCAGAACAGCAGTGTTCCTATGGGAACAGGGAAACGGTGGACCCGACGTGGCTGTCACAAACACCCTCCATATGCTCGGAGTCTACAAACCGCTTCAAGTTCATCACAAGCAGACTGCCAAGAACAAACCTGTGTGGTTTGATTCAGGAGTAAAAACAAATTACGTCAGGGCGGCAGAAGGTCACAGGATAAATAGCTGATCAAAGAATGGGTTCAAGTGTCTCAAATCAAACTGAGGGAGAAGAGTTTGTAAGCAATTAAGAGTCTTACCTCCAAGCATGATAAACAGCTACTAAATTAAAGTTTCCAGAGCTTGTTTAAATGTGTAAACTAGGGCTGTGTGATTTAGTGATTTAGTCTCAGTCCTGTGTCAAATCTACTTTTTAGTTATCATAGTCAACCTTGTCCTATTTTTGTTTAGTCAAGTTTTAGTCGACTAAATGTCTCTCTCTCTCTCTCTATAGCTCAAAATTATAATCGAAATGATTGTTGTCATTTGAGAAATTAATTTTTACATATCAGGTATTGCACTTTCAACCAATAAGCACAAACCATCTGAATGTGAACTCATACACATGGTTTATTTGACCTAATCTAGTGCACTGATTTATTATAGGTTATTTAATGTATAAATTAATATCAAAGACTTAGATATGCACTCTGTCTGTAAAAAAAAAAAAGTCAAGATCTCATGAAAGAACACAGACTGTCTGAATGACACTTTTATTTAAACCGAACATCTCACAAGGAGATCGTTAAACTTTAGCTTGTTTGTTGGTGTTTTCAGATCATTGTCAGCACTTCTGTAATGAAGAGTGAGTGCGTACACATGGTTGCCAGATTGCCAAAATTAAGCAAAACACCGGGCAGAAAATGTATCCTTTTAACAGGGATTTGAACTCAACCACACACAAAAGCTTGCATAGTAGAGGCATGTACAGCAATAAGATTTCATCTAATTTTTTAGTCGAAAATAAAACAAGATTTTTGTATAGTTTTTATTTTTAAAATACATTTTAGTCTTATCTTTTATCGCAACGTTATTGCATGTTGAAAGAGTTTACCTTATTGTCATCTCGTCATCGTCTTGTTTTAGTCATGGGAAAAAAAGCTTGTCAACAAACATTTTTCATCATAGTTTTCATTCATGAAATGAACACCACTGTGTGATTAAGTTATAATTATAGTATTAGTGTTGTAATTTTACAGTAGCACTGAATGAATACAATTATTTATTTTACAGTGAAATATTACAATAGTATTTTTTTATTTTAATAATAATAATACAAGTACAATTTTGGGGCACATTGTGCATCCACAGAAACGAGCATAGCACATTTGGAGCTTTTAAAAACAACAAATAAAAAAACACTTTGATCAGAAAATATAATTTTTTCCTCTAATTGTGCAGCCCTAGAATAAACTAATCTCTGACAGTAAAAACAGCTTTTAAATAAAGAGATCTAAATGCTCAAACTATTGAATTAAGTCCTCTAAGGTCCTGTGTGAGCGGCAGTGTATTTGTACATGCTTGACACAATGTCACAAATGAATGCAGCAAGTTTTAAACATGCTCAAGAAATGGCACAAGCATTACATAACAGGAAAGGAGAAAGAGAGGAAGTGAGAGCGAGACTGATAACAAGGGGAGAACAAATGGTCAGTGCTTCATAATAATACAAAATGGCTGCCGTCAGAGGCCCTGCTGTGAAACAGCGAGGTGTATTTCAGGGCACATAGATTACAACAGATCCCAGTTAAAGCTAATGCCGCCTCTGGCTCAAACTAGCTGACCAGTGGCTCCACACTCATTATTCAGGTTCTTGTATTTAGATTCGCGTGTGTTTGTCACTTACCATTTTCTGCAGGTGCTTCTCTTTCCGTACGTCCACCATGACAAGGCCTTCTTTCACCAGACCCAGACCCACGTCATCTTTCGAGTCCGTAAACTGCAGCGTGACATGTGGGCAGACAGCTCCACTGTATTCCACGTTCAGCAGACACTGTGTGTTTTGAATGTCCCTCACCATACTGTCCACGGCGTCGGTCCGTGCGTCTTCCTGTGGGGGAGGTCATCAAAGGAACATGTCACATATCCATTCATCCTAAACCAGGTTTGATTTCTACAAACTGCCCACAACACAAACACTTACAATTCCACACACTATTGATAGACACTTCAAAGTTCTCAGTGTGTGCTCTGAGCCAATCAGACTCCAGCTCCAGCAGCGGAGTTGCTCATTCATCACACTTACACTTACACACAAGCGCTGCGATAACGATACATGTAGATTTGAAAACAAAAAAACTGATCAAAATACCTCTACACCAATACAATGTTTCACAAATGTTCGACGCACGAGGTGAGAGATACAGATCTGATCTTTCTCGCTCTCATACACACACACTCACACTTTGCTCTTGTGAGCAAACCCAGTCTCCATGGCAACCTCAGAGCATGTTCCCCTTGGGGGGAGTTATGGTGGGGGTACGAGATACAGAGGCCATCCAGAACAAGAGAAAGAGACAGAGATAGAGAGAACAATGCACCTACCTCAAAAGATGGACAAGATCACAAAACAGCAGTATTAACAGGGCAGGTGGCATGATGCCACACCTACACACACAAACACACACCTACACACGCACAATCAAGCTCCGCACACAGACCAGGTGGAAAACTTACTTTCATATGCACTTCCTCACACAATTCAGCTAACAAAAAGGCTTGTACTGGAATATCAGCATTCTAACATAATGCTTACTGTTGACGCTGAGTATATACATTTACATTACATTTAGCAGACGCTTTTATCCAAAGCGACTTACAAATGAGGACAATGGAAGCAATCAAAATCAACAAAAGAGCAATGATATACAAGTGCTATAACAAGTCTCAGTTAGCTTAACGCAGTACACGTAGCAAGGGTTTTTAAAATAATATAATAAATAAAAAAGAAAACAGATAGAATAGAAAAAGAATAGAGAAAGCTTCTGTTAGAGGTCTTTTTTGCTTTTGTTAATTGTAGGCCTATAATAAATGAAAAGAAAATGGATAGAATACAAAAAGATTAGAAAGCAAGTGTTATTTTATTTATTTATTTATTTTGACCCCTTAAGACCCGGCAAAACATTTTAGGAAAAAATGTGTATTTTTTCATGTCATTACATTGTTTAGAGCATTAAAAAAAAAAGTTTTAATGATATTTCATTCATAAGTTATACTATGTCCTTGGTAGAGGACATCGGGACTCAATTTCTTAAAATAAATAAAAAGACATGAATGAACATGCATAGGCAAAAACAATAGATTTTTTTTTTTTAAATCGTCAATACATTTTTAGTTTTTAGGATTTTTTTTTTACCAAACTTTGTGTAAAGATAATTCTCAACTATGTTATAACAGAATGATTTGATATACCATTTTACTTCATGTAAAATGTGTGTAAAATGGCCATAAACAGGTTTTTTCATTATATATAATGTATCTATAAACTAAATCAAATTTGCATATTAATGTGTTTTTGGGGCAACATGTAATTAAAAAAGAAGTGTACTAATGGGAGTAATAATTGACAAGATTTTCATAATAATATATAATATTTCATAGGAATATTGAAATATAATTTCTTTCCCTATTCATTTGTTGTGTCTCCCAAAATGCGCAATAAACATGCTTTTAGTCCCAGTGTCCTCATATGAGGACATGTATGAAATCAACGTCCTGTTTCGAAACAAAGTCATACTTTGATTTGAAACCCCATAACATTTTCCTGAGGTGTCAGATTTAAATGATAATTACAAAATATTATCATATTTCCATAAGAGTGTCACTTAATTAATATCAGACATTTCTGAAGACCAAGGAGAGGGAGCGGTCATGGTGAAACATCCAAACATTTAGCATCTCTGAAAAGCCCTGAATGTGCTCTGTACAGGACATCCAGACTTAAAACTGTGGCATGTATAGTCTCAGGGAAATTCACTAAAATATAATGTCCTCATATGAGGATGCAGGGTCTCAGGAGGTTAAAAGAAAACAAGCAGCAAATGAATAGAGTGCAAGTCTAAAAGGGACAAGTGTTTTTTTTTTTTTTTAAGAATTTTTTTTAAATCGTCAATACATTTTTAGTTTTTAGGATTTTTTTTTTACCAAACTTTGTGTAAAGATAATTCTCAACTATGTTATAACAGAATGATTTGATATACCATTTTACTTCATGTAAAATGTGTGTAAAATGGCCATAAACAGGTTTTTTCATTATATATAATGTATCTATAAACTAAATCAAATTTGCATATTAATGTGTTTTTGGGGCAACATGTAATTAAAAAAGAAGTGTACTAATGGGAGTAATAATTGACAAGATTTTCATAATAATATATAATATTTCATAGGAATATTGAAATATAATTTCTTTCCCTATTCATTTGTTGTGTCTCCCAAAATGCGCAATAAACATGCTTTTAGTCCCAGTGTCCTCATATGAGGACATGTATGAAATCAACGTCCTGTTTCGAAACAAAGTCATACTTTGATTTGAAACCCCATAACATTTTCCTGAGGTGTCAGATTTAAATGATAATTACAAAATATTATCATATTTCCATAAGAGTGTCACTTAATTAATATCAGACATTTCTGAAGACCAAGGAGAGGGAGCGGTCATGGTGAAACATCCAAACATTTAGCATCTCTGAAAAGCCCTGAATGTGCTCTGTACAGGACATCCAGACTTAAAACTGTGGCATGTATAGTCTCAGGGAAATTCACTAAAATATAATGTCCTCATATGAGGATGCAGGGTCTCAGGAGGTTAAAAGAAAACAAGCAGCAAATGAATAGAGTGCAAGTCTAAAAGGGACAAGTGTTTTTTTTTTTTTTTAAGAATAGAATTAGAATAGAGAGTGCTAGAGTTAGAGGGTCAAATAAAGATGGAAGAGATGTGTTTTTAGCCGATTCTAGAAGATGGCTAAGGACTCAGCTGCTCGGATTGAGTTGGGCAGGTCATTCCACCAGGAGGGAACATTTAATTTAAAAGTCCGTAAAAGTGGGAAATATAAGTGTGGAAATATAGGGTCCAGTTTTATTTTTTCCCAAATTCTGTTTTACTTTTTTCCCATTTTAATTTTTCTAGAGTGTTTTTAATGCTTAAATTAAATTTTATTAATCAAAAAGCATGTCTAATTAGTTGAAATCATGAAACTTACACAATTTAAATGGCAATTTGTTAACCGTTTATCCAAAATTACATTTTTAAGGCCCTATGAAATATGTTTTTTTCCTATTTTTCTTAAATGTAGTTCCAGATTCTGTTTTACATTAATTTTCTGGATTTCATTTGAATGTTTCATTAAATTTAAATAATCAAAAGCATTTCTAAATAACTGATTTTATATAAAATAAAAAAATATTAGTCCATATTGTGATTTGTGCATTAACCTACTTTTGATTTATTCATATAAAATTTGGCAAATTCCGTGACATTCTGCGTTACACAGTAAATTCCACTTTTATGGCTGGATTCCAAGATTCTATCTGCGTTTTCCACATTACGGAAATCATAGGGCCCCAAGTATATTACATGGGTTACATCACATGAGCTCATTACATACAAAAACAATTAATGCAATGTAGTGTGCTCTTGTTGTATACTTTACACTTGTAATGTATGGCTATTCTATGGAGAAAATTAGCATACTTTGCAGAAATATGATAGTATGCCATTCCAACAGCTAAACTAGCATGATGTGACTCATAATTCCTGTCTTTTATAACCTGGATGTGACTATGTTGTGCGTGCATGCGCTATGTGTCCTACAGGACCCGTTAGAAGGCCATGTTGTGTGATGAATCACATGGGAGTGCGTATGAATGTGTTTGTGCAAGAACTTACATCCTGTGGGACCTGAATGAAGGCAAATGTGTATTCTGTAGCCTGTGGAGGAAGCGTACGCGTGCTGAAGGCTGGAGGAAGGGCTGCAAGACGCGTGGAGGATAATATCTCTCTCTGAAAGGACAGGAGAGAGAGATCGTCACATTGTTTTGTTATAAAACAGGCTTCATACCTCTTTCATACACTGACTGCCTGTACAAGGTCCTCATTAAACGGAGGAGGTGTGAGTACAGCACAGCAGATAAAAGCAAAGTCAAGGATAACGCTTAACTCCTCCACATGCCACACTCGAAGCCAGCAACACAATATGAGAGACACACACACTCTCTACTGGGTCGCAGTTGAGCGCTGTGGTCATGTGTCTTTAGTGCAGAACATGTGAACGCAGCAGGCTAAAGAGGCTGGTTAGCACTGAGATGCTGCAAAGGCTCGTTTCAGCTTTGAGAATGACAAATACAGGCAGACAGAGACTAGAAAATGGAAAATCAGACAGAAGACTGATGAAAGTACAAAGCAAAAAGACTGGCTTGTTTTACGTGGGGGGTTATACAGCAATTCTTCAGAGGACACACATCAAGCACACGGTGGGCCTAGAAATATTTAGACAGTGTTTGAATGTCAAAGCATTTCTCTCTATTTATGTTTCATAGAAATGGGATTAGTAAATGTAATAATTAAATCAAAGCTAATTTAATCAAACAATACGTTTAAAAATCACAAAACAACAAATATTTTTCTCAGAGTGAAGACAATGACAATTTCTGGCTGTCAAACTGGAGTGGATCGTGTTCATAATGTGATGAACTCTGACTTAATATATTCATGTAATCAGTTACATGCATTTAATAATAATATTAAAGAGAATGTTTAAAATATGTCAAATTATATGTATATTACAGTAGATTTTGTTACATTTAAGATCTGCTACTTTCTCTACATTGTCAGATTGTTATATAAAATCTAAATTACAACACTTAGACCAAAGACCCCCCCAAAAAGAAGAATTTAGGCCAAAAACTTTTGATGGGGCATTAAAATAAAGATCTGTCCCTCAAAACACTCTGTCCAGCGAATCAGAGTGATTGAGCAATAAACAGTGATATCAGATTCAGCACAATGCTCTTGCACCGAGGGTTAAGATATGTGGGCAAAGAGAATAAAAGAATGAGGAGGAGAGTCTGTGAAAAGAAGAAAGAGGAAGGCACAGGGAATACAGAGATGAGAGAAAAGGTCTGTTGTGTGAGAAATGTTCAATCACATGACCACCTGCATCTTTTCTCTTGTGCTGGCCTGGAGCCTTCCGCCCCGGGCACAAAAACAGCAAAGCATGCTGGGTACTGCAACCTTCAGGCTGCTTTTAAGTATACTGACATTATTTATTCTGGATTTATGGAGTGGAATTGTTTTCCACATGTGTGGCATTTTGACTGATGGATTCAGTGCTGGCTTTTGAAAGCACATGCAGTATTTTAAACAATTCAGAACATTCATCAGTCAGCGCCTTTCTAAAGAGACGCTCCACTCAGGAGATGCTGTGCTACATCCAGATTACGCATCAACCTCCCTGCAAGCAGATACTCACGTTTCCATAGTCGATGTAGAACACGTGAACCTTTGCTGGAGATTCAACTCTCTCGACGCGAGCTCTGTACCTACGGAGAGACAGAGAAGAACATGTCAGGTCCACTCACTGATCAGAGGAGAAATCATTTCAGCAGTTCATCCACAAGCACTGGACAAATTGACGTAGAACACCTGAACAGGAAACGTTTGGCTTTGCCACCAAATGGCACTTTGGTACTCTTTTTGGCTCCGAACTGCTTTTTCTACATGGAAATGACTGAAAGGGGCCACACTGGGCACCAGTACCGGAGTATAAGTGACCTCCAATTTCACCCAAATAAAAACATTCACTTTTGTAAAGAGCAAAATACTAGTTTACTGCCCCTAACTGTAGAGTACAGACAGATCTTTTATGGGGGGTCTCAGGAGAGAGTTGATCTTGTATTCATAACCTTACGCTCTGAAAGAGTAAGAAGCCTCTCATATTCATAAAGAGCAGTTCAAAGCTCTGCATGACACCTCAAACAAGAGGAAAAAGTCAAAGAAGAGTTTTCGTTTTCATATAATCAAACTTAGACATTCCAACCCACTCCAGGCCCCCTGCCCACTCCAGACCATCCACTTATGCTAAAACACTTCAATCATCCAAAACCCCCCGCCTGATCCAGGGAAGCCCGCTCTGAAAAATTTCTTTCTGCTAGTATCACAGACTTAATGAGCTCTTATGCCACCGAATGTCATAGTCCTGGTGCATCGTGGGAAAACATGAGCCAACTGGGATATAGAGAAAGATAACAAACATGACAACAAGCCAAAAAACAAACAAAAAAAAACAGAACAAAGAAAAACTTGTAAGCAATTAAAGGAGAAATTCTAGGGATATTGCTGGGTGGAGCCAAACGAGTTTTTAAAAGAGCAAGACGACATCAACAAAAACACCAACAGATGCTTGAGTAACGAGTCGCCCCACTGAGGATGCAGCCTGTTCAGAGTCTATATGAGGACAATAGAAGCTTCCAGACTCCCTAAAGGACAAAGGACTCATTAGAGCAGTCCAATACCCTGCAATCTAGGGCAGATTACCCCAATATAAAATTTAAGTAAACTGAAAAATACCCACAACCAACAGATGGTTCACTATAAAACTATTTCAACAATGAATATGAGGTTAAAGCAATTTCCCTGTGAAGATAGCCTGCTGAGAAATGCTGGCTTTCTGCTTTTATTCTTTTTCCTCCAAAGTCATCTTTCCTTAAAATGAAAGACACACATCAGTTAGCAACATATAATAATATTCCAATATTAGATAGATTTTTCCTTTAATTTTTAATTAATGTTCAATGCAATTTGGCATTATACAATAATAGCTGCCATTTAACTCTCACTTAAAGTTCCAAAAAAAAAAAGAAGGATCAGTCACACTTTACTTCAATGTCCAATTCTCACCATTAATAACGACTTTTGCCTCAAACTCCTAATTTGCTGCTTATTAACAGTAAGGTAGTTGTTAAGTTTAGGTATTGGGTAGAATTAGGGACTGTAGATTAGGGTCATGCAGAATATGTGCTTTATAAGTACTAGTAAACGGCCAATATGTTAATAATAGGCATGCTAATAAGCAACGGGTTAATAATGAGAATTGGTCCCTTTACTAAAGTGTTACCATAAAATCTCAAACTCTTTTCATGCTATCTTTCATACTTACATACATACTTTTACATTGATAATGAAATGTATTTGTAGCATTTAAAACTATACTGGCTATTTATTGGTTATCAGCAATAACAAAAATATAATTATCATGTGCCACAATTTCAAAACCGGTGTTATTACTTGAAACACTAATCACCTGCACACACTTGCCAAATCAGCAAGATGACTCCTCATTACCTCTCAAAACTAGACCAGAACATCCTGCCCAGCAGCTCTGACAAATATTTTATTACATTTATATATTAAAATAAATTAATAAATGAAAAGGTATTTTGCTGAAACCAGGAAACTCGGCTTTTATAGCAGATGCCATTAGGAGATTTTTTTTGGCTCTTACCATTCTCCATCAGCAAACTTTGCGATGCAGAAATCCCCTCTGCGCGGGGCAAAGGATCCTTCCACCGGAGGCTGGGCGGCAATCTCTCCACGCATGCTCTCCATCAGGCTCTCCAGCTTAGTACCTGCACAGATAAAGATGGCAAAAAGGTGAACATCTCCATGCAATCCATCATGCTTCTCAGGAAAGTCAGAAAACTTAGAGCTTGCGTTCCTGGATTTGGCTCAATGTTGGAGAGCACCATCCTCACAGCATGATTACATGATTTATACCATAACGGGATGATTTGAGAAGGAAGAGATGCGTTAACTTGCGAGTGACTGGCCTCTGCCAACATCGTTTCTCCAACAATGAAGCCCTGATGGCTCTGGAGAGGAAAGCATAATATTTTCCTCGTTCAGCCTTTGTTGACAACCAACATCCATTGAGCTTTTGCCGGGCCTGGGGTCTGTTGCAAACACGGAAATAAAATTAGATTAAGACCCACAAATCCTCACCGGGGAACAAGCGACCCAAGCAAGCTCTCAAATCAACCAAAGGCCAGTAAGGTTTTAATACATCAAAATGGCTTGAAATGCCTTTCTAGAATGTCCACTACAGATATTTACTTTTTTCCGCCATACTCTTGCAGCTGTTCATTCATTTCTCCCAACAACAAGAGCAATCCGTGTAATCGCTGAGGTGTGGGTTTGCTGGGGCACGGAAATGTGACAAAACAGCCCCACAGTCAGGCATGAATAATGTTGTAGGAGCGCAAAGCGGAGGAAAAAAAAGAAGAAAAAAAAGAGTGAGAGCAGTAATGTGCGACAAACACCAAACATCCCCCCAGGAAAGCTGTTAAAATAAGCCAACTAATGTGCCTGTCTTAAGCTGTTCATTTACGCCCCCTCCACTGACGTCATTGGGGTTTTTATGATAATTGTTTGCTAGCATCAGAATATTTGCATGCATTAAATGAAAAGACGAGGATGAAGAGAAGAGAGAGAGCTTAAAACATGTCTACATTCAAGCAGCCTTAAGCCTGCATGTGGCTAATTAGCATGATGCCAACTCAAACAGAGCAGCGTTAGCGTGTGAATGTATGTTTGTGTACGTGTGAGGGGTGCAGGGGGTATTTAATGGCAGATTTCCAAAAGGGGTGTGGCTTAAATGCTCTATTTAATTGGCTAACCCACCAGCATCCAGCCTGCTAAACGGTTAATTAGCACATATGGGAAGACACATGCACACACACTCACACCTCTCAGCTGATTCTTGCACAGTAGAGATATTAGCAGCGTTTCGAGGAGGCAGCAGTTTTTGAGAAGTTAAGAGGGGAGAATGTGGCTGTGTGACTGTGGGTAGAGTAGCATGTCAGATGACAGCTGAACGTGCAGCCTTGATTTATTAAACTAATTTAAAAAGTTTTGCATTTTCTTCCCAGGCAGCAGGGCAGCGAGAGTGCGTTTCCCCGGCTTCGTTCATCCATGCCCCACTTCCAGCCCTGCGAGAGCATGCTAAATAATAAATAAGGACGGGGGTGTCCTCCGTACGCGTTATAAAGGTTTAATGGAGGCTGCACATTTAACCCAATTAATCCAAGAAGCACTCAATTAGAACGCATAGACTGGGCAGAGAAAAAGTCTCTATTATAGACAATGGATGCTAATGAAAACAAATGCACTGGCCTATAATACATGTCAAAGTATGCAAACCTCAATCCAAACTCTGCTGAAGGGATCATTCACTCAAAATGAACATCCAACCATTATTTAATTACCTCGTGTCATTTTAAAGGGGTCATATGATGCGATTTCAAGTTTTCCTTTCTCTTTGGAGTGTTACAAGCTGTTCGTGAATAGATAAGATCCCTAAAGTTGCAAAGACTAAAGTCTCAAACCCAAAGATATATTCTTTATAAAAGTTAAGACTGGCTTGGACGTCACGATGTGGGAAGATTTGCATAACGCCGCCCAAATGTTCACGCAAAGAAAGAAGGTGTAACTTTATTGTTGCTGCCACCGCCATCCTGTGAAGATGCTGTGTGTTTAGTTGCGAAAGCGAAAATACTTTGTTTGGCCTTCCAAAAGAGGACACGACTAGAAATCAGTGCTTAAGTTGTATTTACAACACTGTTCCAGAACAGTTCAACCCAAATATTCAGATGTGTGCAGCGCATTTTATGGAGGACTGTTTCCTGATCCTGGGAGAGTAGACTACAGTGTTGGCTGTTCTGACTCATAAACTATAAGTACATTTTCATATTTAAAGAATTTGTCACTGACGATTCAAACGTGAGTTTTGAGCAGTGTAGAGTAGCGTTTGTTGTTTGTCATTTCTCCGATCATAAATATAAACTGCTACTATTTTAATTTATCCATATCATGCAGATCATTTTATTTATTTTTATGTGCCCACGTTAAAAACATTAACTTCCCGTCTACCTCACAACAGCATCTTTTCTCAGACTCTGATATGTGAAATGAAAATGACAACAATCTAATTTTCCAATCAAGTCCCAAGACTCCCGACTACTATGTACTATGTTAATTGGAAACTTAAAACTCTTGGGGAGACTTTGTCAACTTAAAAACGAATGACTGTTAACGTGTTTTGATCTAAAAGTACGCTAATAAGACCTGCAGTGGTCCATATGGTGTGGGTTCAGGTGTTCAGCCCTGCACTGAATATCTGTAGCTCTCAAATCAAAAATGGCTTTAGAGATCAGGTTTCACGCTTCATCAAGTGACAAAACATGACAACTAATGATGGCACTAATGTAAGGTGGCAAACATGATAGGAAAACTACTGAAGGAGACAATTTTTAGTGAATTAACTAGTTAACCTTTGGTCTAGTTGCCACACAAAAACATAATTTGATTTCAGAATAGTTTGAATAAAGCACAAGAATCAAATTCTCCCTTGGAGTGAAATGGAATGGCATGAGGGAGTATAAATAATGAGAGTTTTCATTTTTCATTCTGGGTGAACCGTCCCTTTAATTCACCTGAGAAAGTGTTAAACAGACACTCTTTAAAGCAGATCTGAAATGACTGTTTCAAACATTTCTTAAAAAGTCACAATGAAATCAAATCAATGTGCCCACGTTAAAAACATTAACTTCCCGTCTACCTCACAACAGCATCTTTTCTCAGACTCTGATATGTGAAATGAAAATGACAACAATCTAATTTTCCAATCAAGTCCCGAGACTCCTGACTACTATGTACTATGTTAATTGGAAACTTAAAACTCTTGGGGAGACTTTGTCAACTTAAAAACGAATGACTGTTAACGTGTTTTGATCTAAAAGTACGCTAATAAGACCTGCAGTGGTCCATATGGTGTGGGTTCAGGTGTTCAGCCCTGCTTACATTCCCTGTATGCTTCATTACATCCTCCTTGGCTGATATACTGGAGGATATAATGAAGGATTCAGCTTTAATTACGGTGGGGTCAGGTTCTCTAGCGCCTACTGTAAATCTGCAACACTCCCCTGACTGTGTGTGTGAGTGAGAGAGTGAGAGAGTGAGAGAGTGAGAGAGAGAGTGAGAGAGTGTGAGAGTGTGAGAGTGTGAGAGTGTGAGAGTGTGAGAG